TGTGTGTGTGTGTGTGTGTGTGTGTGTGTGTGTGTGTGTGTGTGTGTGTGTGTGTGTGTGTACATACGCGTACCTTCAATGCTTCGTCAAACTCACATTCCGAATCGATTGGCACTCTGTCCCCATCATCGTCGATGTAGAAGATGCGTCTGTTTTTCGGCACTCCAAACTGCTTCCACTACAGATTTGAAAATCAGCGTCATGCGTCATTCACTAATTATATACAGGGTATTCCAAAAAAGGTATATAATTCAGTAACGGAGAGACTTATATCGATTGATTGCTACATATTTTCCAGATTATGACATGCACAAAACTTGAACTTTTTATAAACGTTACTTTAAATAACGGACAAGTATTTTGACGAGTGGCGCTTTAAAATTTATGCCTATATACAAAGCTTCCGTAATCCATACTCTGTATACGCGCGACACAAGGAGACCAAAGAAAACATACTCACCAGCTGCATCCGCATAGCTTGCAAGTCATAATTGGGCAAACGCGGAAAGTTGACAATAGCTTCGTAATCCCAAAGGCTGAAGCCCTCCTTCAACAGGAAACAGAAATATTCCTGATCGGGGTCATTCGACAATTTCTTTGTCGTCGATGACGTCGACATGATTGTTGTCGATAGCAATAACGCACTATTTCTAATGATTCCTCGGACTTTGGATTTGCGCAAGATGGAGCCGCTCCACCGCTCGGAATCTGCGCGAATCTGTAGCCGCGATGTTTGACACCATTTGACACTGTCCGACGTCCGGACGTCAATCGGACGTCGTTTCTCCAAGTTTCTTTCTTCAACAACGGTCCGTAACGACAAGACACGTAATGATTTCGTAATGTAGACGACACGTAATATGTTACGGAAACGGTCAATAGCAACGAGAGAAGCGTACAACAAACAGTCTAATGCAGCTTATACAGCAGCGTTCTGCGTTCATCCAGTGTTGACGAAACAGAGCCGAGTCAGCCGAGAACGCCGAGAACTGCCGAACTGCCGAAAGCTATTTCGCGATCATGCGCAAGCGGGGACGAGTAGACGTTAATCCCTTCCCCGTTGCAATTTGCACTTTCAAATATCCGGGACTGTCTGGAGCTCGGAATGGCTGGGAATGGCTCGGATCCGGGATCGAGCTCGAAAACCATTTTCCTTTGTTCCCGTTTATTCCTCTTTATTTCGCACTTGAAACTGGTTCAACATTAGACTGATTAGACGAGTCACGCGAACCGATCGCAAGTTTGCTATGACAATTTGAAGCGTTAATGGAAAAATGCAAGCTCCAGATTGGCTGTCGCAACAATCTTGCGGATCGGCTTGCGTCATTTAATGTAAAACCAGTTTAACGCGCAACATATTTGAAGATAGACACTTTATAAAATAAACAATTTATTAATAAAATAATAATACATTTATCTATAACTTGCATCTGTCTTTTTACGCTAGCTTTTGATTAGTAAGAGTGAAAATAATATATCTCGTGTAATTCGTGTACAATTTATAAGTAGACGGACGTTGCAAGGTATAAGATTATAATTTCAATTATGCGATTAAGTTTAATTCAATCGACAAATAATTCTCTACTTCCCGGGGTATAGATATAATATAATGCACACAATCATGCTACAAATTCGCTATACGCCAATAGTCTATTTGTACGCAGGTTGTCTTTTCATTAGTGTTCTCTGCTTATACGTTTAATGTATTCGTGTAATAATATATGTCATAGACCGATATCCATAGTCAGATCTTATATTCAAGACAGTCTTAAATACAGTCTTAAAAAGTCACGAACTAATCAGAGGATCATATTAGTGTCTTAAAACATTACTTAAAACGATCTTGAAATAAGAACAGACTGAATACTGGCCATAGTGTCAGCATAAGACTAGAAACATATAACATATTCATGCTTTAACTTATCATCACACTTATCAGCTAAAGTACATTAATCGCTTAATAATGTACTAGATAGCGGGAAAAGGAAGAATTCTTTATACCACTTAGAGATCTTATGTCACATGCCTGTATTGTTAGCGTAAACGGCGGATAGAGAAGGATTTTGTAATAGCTACAACGCAAAACGGGGAGAGCCGGTACACCACACGATATACCTCCCATTAGTTCTCTGCATTTAAATCCTCGCATTAAATAGACATTTAACATTTTCGTTAAAATAAATAGTAGCTTTGCATTTGATTGACTTAAGATTAATAGCGATTAGATTCCTTTTACATGACTAATAATGATCATTATCAATAGAAAAATAAAATATATTGTCTTTTTAAGCCAACAAATGTTACGCGTGTGTATATGTGTCTGTACGTGTACGTGTGTGTTTGTATATATCTATCGGCAACTGTCGAAAGAGAACAGTTTTTTCGCAGCAAGCACATTTCCGTAATTATAATTCGTAAAGAAACGCTGCATTTCTGGGGATGGAAAACTTGACAACTTAATTTGTATATTTGCACGGCTCATGCTATTGACTTTCTTGTATCACATAAAGCAGAAGATAATTTGGGACTGTTACTTTAGATTAGAATAAACAAAATGCACAATAATATACTTTATATCGCTTTATATACTTTCAAATAATTTTCTCTTCAGTCCGAATGAAACTACTTAGTATTATTACTTAGCACATTACAAGCAATCGTAAAATAATTAATAAGAAGCTTGAAATTTCTAATTAATTTTTTTTTTGGAAGAGAAACTTTTATAACATGATTCCAATAAAACATATCGTTATTTATAAACGAGCTTGCCAGAAATTAGTTATCTTATTTAATCTATCTAGAAATAGTACAACACAAACTTAAACCATATTGTTTGTCACAATCTCATTGCAATTTTAAAAGAAAATATTTGCAATGATAAAAATCCGACGTATAGCATTCTATTCCCCATGTGTGTAAAACGGATACGTTCTACACTGTTTAGTGTAGTATTTATGCTTGTATACCCTAAGACAGATGTATAAGAGTTAAGATTTTGTGAAATATAATCGTGTAATTATACAATAATATTGTATATAACTTTCCATATATATCCGACCAATACTAAACAGATTCGAATAATCGTGGACCGTCCTAAATTAACAATCATAATTCTTTTTTTTTTCAAGGGAGTATAATTTCGGACGATAGACTTTGGTATACCATTGCTCAAGCAGCACGCATATCCGATGATCGCGCGCGCGATCGTATATATATATCTGTCAAGTGTTCACCAGATATTCGAGCTGTATGTGCAACCGGGTGTCGAGTTATAGAAAAATAATTGCGACAATCGTGCGGCAACTGCTCCTACTATGAAAGTACAAACTAGTATGTCGCGATATTAGAAAACTGGGTGTTCTCGCATAGACACGGTTTTGATCGATAATTCACTCCTCATCAGATTCCGTTTCTTCCGCTCATAAAATCGTAAAAAAAAAAAAAAACAATGACTGCGTTCAGCAGAGAAAGTTGTTTAGGGAGCACTTCGCATTAATTGAATTATATTTTTATATTTTGAGTTGAGGTAGAACCATTTCTCTAGATCTAAAAATATAATCCAATTAATACAAAGTGTTTATTAAGCTGCTTTTTCTGTTTTTGTTGAACGCAGCCAAATATAACATTTCACAAAATTGACGTCGCCTTCATGTGTGTTATTGGAAAAAAGACGATATAAATTCTATCATCTTCTTTTACAATATATTTCTTGTAATATAACTTAAAAAACTGGTGTTTTTTAGGGTTGAACTTCCTTGAAGAAGCACCATCGGCATTTCGTAAGATCAATTCGACGATGTGATCCAATTCGACAAATCGCAGGTATTAAATCCATCTGCATAAAACGCGCACTTATTGATTCGTTTTTGTCGTGCTCCAATTTCATTTACTATATAAACGTTTCTGTTCTTTTACTTCCAGAACGAAAAATGACATCGGTCGTTTTGGTACCGTTTGGTTCGGTCGAACCGAAGTCTCTTCTTTCTCTTCCAGTCATCAAAACATGTCGCTTCTCTTTTTCTCTCTTTCTCATCGCGCCATATATAAATATTAAAGTTGTATACACTCAATATAATAGATAAACGTTTTCGATATGATATATTAACAGTGAGCTAAGCACCGGGAAAGATTTTTTCAGATCGCGCGCGTACGGTTTTTATTTTTTCTACTTTATTGAAACTATATGTGGTCCTCTTCTTTGTTGCTCTGCGTCGCTGGCGTCGCCGGAGTAGGATCGTCATGGAACATCGGGTTCTTCACTTCCATCTCGCCCGTCTTTAACAAAATATCGAAAGCTACTCTTAAGATAATATTCAAAATTGGGACAAACATTTAAGATTCTGAGTTCTGAGACAGAAATTATGATTTCTATACGATACTCACAGATGCAAGTCCTGGGCATTCGTAAACGGTATAGTCACCCTCTTCATTCTCTTCATCGCTCTCCGCTTCCGAAAGAGAACCCGGATCCCTCGTTGCAGAAGTACGACTGCAGCAGATATTTGTTAAACATTACTTTCAAAATAATATTCCCCTATTTCTAAGATTTTTATGAAATGATGGATATCATCGAGAGATATATGTTTATTTTTTAGCAATTATATTAAATATTATAGATTATCTTAAGAATGACTACATCTAAATTAAACTCACTTTTCCATGGCAATAATTTGTTGTTTCTGATGTTGAAAATGATACATCTGAGCAGACTGGGCGAGCCTTTGATCACCGGAAGGCGATACATCTTTATTCGGTCCCGTCACACCGTAAGCAGGATACTCTATGTCCGCCGCAGCTTTCGCGCCGCGTTGTAATCTGAAAAATATAATCCCGCAAAAAGAAAATGAAACGCGTGATGTTGTAAAGCAAGCTAAGCGATGAATTATTGTAATCAGCATTACCTGCACCACGTTAAACTAATCAATACTAAAGCAAACATCGCAGCTGCACTGCAACCGGCCACAATGGCTGAAAATACATACGAAATATCACGTTGAATCGCATTAATTGACAAAATCTGATAATTCTTTTACAATCAACAAATTCTTATTTCGTTTTAGTTGCTTACCAATAAAATAAATGTCATTATTGAAGTCCTGATTTATGGGCACGCTCACCGGACGACGTCCCGCAAGTCTATCCGGTTCCGGCACGTCGAAACTTGCGGTTAAATCCGTCTCCTGCTTGATATTCCGCATGTCATCTTCATGTTTTACTAATGTTCGCTCTTTATTTGCAGTTTTCTCCTCCTTCAAAGTCATCCTTGAATTGTCTTGCCAATCTATATCATCTATGAGTTGCACAAAAAAGGAAAGGTGTAATGCCATTTATAGTTTTTAAGAAAAAACAAAGAATAAAGACAGTTGACAGGAACTGTACTTGTCAACAGGTCAAAGTGATTTAAAAAGGAAGAGTTTAAAAAAAGAATGGATTAAATATAAAGCAAAGTAATTATTGATGCTTGTATAGTCTGACGTAATTTAAGACTCCCTTCCAAGACTCTTAATAATAATGTTAATGTGTAAAGGATAATGTTCTCAAATTCGATTTCGTTTCGAAAAAAAATTATCGTGTAAGAAAAATTAATTGTAAATAAAAAATGAAATAATAATGAAATAAAAATGAATAATAATGAAATAATTTGAATACATCAGAAATCTTGAGATTTTTTAAAAGAAAAAAATAAGAAAATGTATTTAAAAAATAATATTTTTTTTAAAGTTGATATTTCTTTCATATTGAATACACATAAAAAAAGTTAAATAATTTCTTACTTATTTTTCGTTTTGCTCAATTATTATATATTTTTTAAAATTAAAATATCAAAAAGTTCTTGTCTAATTTTTCAAAGAAATATGGAATATTGTATGTTGATAGATAAAAATTTAATAAATCTTGTATCCTTTTTAGAGTTATGGGCATCAAAATTAAAAGCATTACTCTAAAGAATCCCAATGAAATCAATGGAACAAAGGAATATTCACCTGATGAAAATGATTCCTCGCCGTAATATCTGGGATCATTCGGTTTCACCGCAAACGGATGCTTCTCCTTGAAATTCGAGTCATCGAATTTATACGTGAATTCTGGTTCGGTCGCTTCCGATGCAGCTGCCGTTGCTGAACGTATAAGTGCTGCTTCCATTCCGCCCTCATGATGGAACGTTTCAATTTCGTCTATGTACTTTTTTTGGAAAGAGTCTAATGTGGACTCCATTGGATCTCTGTTCACATCGAAAATTTTCCCGTACCCGAGATTTTTGGAGAAATGGCCATCGTTTTCATTCGGCTGTTTCTCTTCGGAATAAATCGGACGCTTGCGATCTAGATTGAAATAAGATGAAAGGTACTCCGGTTCCGTAATTTGATTCTGACGATAAAAATGCGTCAACCATTCTAAGAAATCCTTTCTATCGGACAGAAGTTTTAAAAGGACTTCGCGCTCCTCCTGATGGTCCAGCAGACTGTTGTGTTTCTTGTACATTGACGACAAGAACGTAGGCAGGTGCGACCGATGAAGACGCTGCTGAAGACGATGCGCCTCCAGATAACGGGCTAACTTCAGTGCAACATCCTCTGACGTTTCCGGAAGCGCATCTATGTAATGTCAGTTTGAGAAAATAGAAAGTGTATATTTCCGCATTCATCGATTCATACAATCTTCTAATTATCAGCTTTATTTCATAATACGTCAAATTTTAATTCTAACATAAAACTCGCCTTCGGTATCAAATGAGAGATGAAAGTTTTAATATATTAACAAATTAGCTTTAATCCAATAAATATTATGAACTAAAACGTGAATAGCGAAGGTTAAATTGAAGTATGTAACTTGAAATTATTATCACCGAGTTTCCTACCGCTTTTGTTATATATGTAATCGGGTTTCCTGTAGCCAACGATACGCTGGTATTCTACGATAACACTGCTCCAGTATAATCATTCGTAGGCTAGTTAAATCTTTTTAAGTATGTTTGTGTGTTACGTATACATAAAATTTTACGCTTTATATAAATCATATTATATGTCAATTGATCATAAGAATTGGAGCAAACTGTAATCGCATCACAAACAATCGCGCAATTTACTCTTGACCTTCAAATCTTAATTACGCTTCGAGGACAGAAAATACTATAAACGATCAACGGATTATCCGTTCATTATTCTCGTTTATGCAATGTATCATAAGAGGATGGAATCTTTCGATATTGTTGTATAATACGAATTATATAATACGTTTTTTGTACTACATATGTTCGAGAAATTTGAATTGTACTAAATTTTTATTTAAAAGGATCGAAAAGAAGTAAGATTCTAAAATCATCTCATATTATTTCGAATAATATTTCTCGATGGTAAAAAAAATATTCTTAATGATAAAGGGGTCACAAGACGATGATAGTTTATCATAAAAATGATAATAGTTGTTTTTATTTTGTTTCTTTAAACTTATGAATTGATACTGTTATAGAAACAATTTTTTAGATATATATGCTGTTTAAAAAACCTAGATCATCTTAATACCGTTAAAACATTCTTTGCTCCTTAACATATTTTTTTCTTTGCGAATTGATTAAGTAAATATATTTTTATTGTGCGAAACAATCGATTATATTTTAACATTTAATTAATCAATTCTTACTAATTAAAAATAAAATATGACATATTTTCAAAGAGTTACAAGTGGGTCTTCTTTGTGTCATTCCCCCTGGAAACGTTGCCTCCTAAGGCCGTAGACTCTATCTTACTCACCCCGATAAAAGCTGAGCTCGCCAGTGGACCAGCTCAACAGGAGCGGCATTAACGTCAGCCAAGTGCAGCCCCGTTGAAGGAGCATCCTCTCGTCGTCGTCGTCACTGCTGTTGGTCGGCTGCTGAGGGCCCTGCACAGGTCTTATCGTTTCTCTATTCGCGTCTCCATATGCGAGAGAGCACGTCACTTCATTCAGGGCGGACAGCGAGCTTGCGCGATTAGTGCGGCTTCGCAATCAATAACGACCACCACACCGACTTTCACCCTCCCACACCAGTTTCGTCTTGTTCCGACGTTGCGCGAGTACTCTGCACCGCGTTCCTCGAGGACGCGCTTTTCCTCCTCTTCCGCCTCCTCTTTCTCCTTCTATTGTCGTATATTGCGCCGGCGATTAACATGGACGCATTAGGTGTCATTAAGCAGCTGCCATGTATCCCCACTACTCTGCACACCCGCATCCGCACATGTGAGGATTTGTTCCGTTTACAAGATTGCTGTGGTTCCGATTCATTTTGCCCGGACGTTCACCCTTTAATTCATCCATTGAATATCGGTAGAATAGAAACGTTTCTCTGAGTTCATATACTTGGTAACGCAAAGTTTGTTAACTGTATATTTCAATGATGCTGATGGACCTGTTATGCTCCAGAACTATTGAAAGTAAAAAATATTGTCAAATATTAATGATAAGGACGAGGCATTTTTTAAATTTATATTTTGGATTTAAATGTAATAAGGAAATGATACGTGCCTATGTCGTTCTTAAAACACAACGTTTCATTTCGTAACAATTATTTATTTAATCGAGATACAGATAATCGAAATAAAAATCATCACATCAGTCCTTAATGTTTTTGATAAGGTCTCATCCTTTTGATTCCTTTGATTGTGTTTTTAAATTATATCAATTCACTATTTATTTACAGATAGTCGTAATCTTTAATCACATCGATGAACTAACATCTAATTAACATATCACATAAATGATGATTCGACATCTTATATCCAAAGAATGCCAAAATTCTCATATTTTTATATTCTCTGCTTTTATCAATTTGATTATTCATCATAATTGTAAACAAAATAATAAGGCGGTACAAAAAAATCAATTTAGTTATAAATTTAACTATGCCAAATCGATAATCACACCGCCTTAATTATTGTCCAACAGAGACTCGTCCGTTACGAGCAATCGAATCGGCTTGCGTTTTTCCTCTATATTTTGCTTTCGCCTGCGATTTATTACGCCGTCGGAAGCATCCATCATTCGTAATATTTGTGTTTGGTCCGAGCAGTCCACTGGTGCAACCGAGATATCCCGTACTGCTCTAAACTTGCCACAATTGTTCAAATGCTCGTTTTCTAAGCGGAAGAAGTTCCACACGAAACGTCTATCAAGAAAACATATAAATTACGCGATGACCCAGTTTTTTTAATCATCGTAATAATAATAATAATAATAATATATATGTATATATTATTACATATAATATATACATATAATATATACAATATATAATATGTATTGCAGAGTTTGTAATATATATTTACAAAAACTTCATATAAAATTCACTATGAACGCCCTGAAAATTTTTCTCATAATTTTTAAACGAATTGGAACATTTTTCAGAAATACTCAGAAATATGTGAAAAGTTTACATCTTCTCTCAGAATTTTTCATACAACTGAATTCTGAAATATTCTGAAATTTCTCATTCCATAAAAAATATTTTCAAAATTTTTTCAGATTTTTATAACATTTCATCAGAAATTGTACTTATTAAAAAAATCTTAGAAATCTTATGATATTTCATAATTAACATATACGAAAAATTCTGAAAAAAGAAATAGATTCTCTGACAAATGTTCCAATTCGTATAAGAAATGTGAGAAAGTTATAAAATTATATAGAAATTCTGAAAAATTATAAAGAGATTCTGAAAAAATTATATAAAAAATTCTGAAAAAAATGTTTACCAGGGCGTGCAAACAATTGCATAATGAAACGTCGTGCATTCAATCAAACAATATTGTACAGTAAAAAAAATGTAATAGTATTTTTGAAATTAAACAATAAACAAAAAATATATATAATATATAAACATAAGTAAAAAATTAAAATAAAGAGACAAATTTACAACGTATCAGATTGTGATCATGGGTCTCCACTAATCCAGCATTGTTATCGTTCTCGTTTACACTATCCATCAGATGGATTACTTCATCGCGTCTGGGCCCTATGGAGATATCACGCACCGCTCGGAACTTGCCTACGTTGTATAGATGCTCGTTCTCCAGTCGAAAGTAATTCCACACGAACCTTCTAGCGACTTATTAGTAAGGCACATTGATAAGCGATTAGATTAGTCAGTCTATCGTCGATTAAGTCATTGCTTTTAACTTTTGACAATCAATTATTTCGTTGCAAACGACATTATCGTAGGATTACTGAAGATAATTTTGAGCGCGAATAATTGATTCTTAATTACATGTTAATAATTACAATTTAAATTTAAAAATAACTTTTTTCTTTAATTTATTAATTTAATTTTTTATTTATAAATTGTGGGAATAAAGTTTAAACAATTCATTTTCAAGTTCATATATAATGTTTTTGAGTTTTGCTTTTAAAGTGTTAAGACATTTAAGAATTATGTGCGTATAAAGTGCGTGCAAATCATAAACTTAAATATTAACATTTTATTAAGCATAATAAAACAACGATAAAAATCGACGATTTGCAATGATTGAGCTAGTACAACTATTTTTCAATCTTAATATATTCTCTACGTGCATTCAATATTAAAATACGAATAAAAACATATATTTACCTGAAAACTTCTAACGGGGCAACTATAGAAACCATAAGATCCGCGTGAATATAACCCATTTCTGTTAGAGACAAAGAAAATGCCCATCCAAATCGCAAGATAAAATCTTCAACCATTGCAAAGTAGTAATAATACTGTAAAATAGAAATGCAGAATGAGCTGTGATGAATTATTAATTAAATAAACAGTTAATACGTTGGTTGTCATTAATATTATTAATATCTGTGCGTATAATATAATAGAATTTAATATGGAAAAAACATACAGGTGATGAATAAACTATCTCTTCTCTGAGAAACTTATTTTCTCCAGCATTGCTATCGAAAAGACCCCAATCCAATTTTACATCCCAAGTATACGTAAAACAGGAACTCACTACACTGACTGTCAGCCATAAGTAAAAGTAGGGATTCTCAGTAGACAGTGCGTAATATTCTATTTAATAGTACAACTAATTGAGTTAAAAAATAGACAATACTTAATTCATTATCTAAGCGAAGTACTTACTCTTATTTGTTAAATGCAAATAAGCGAAAATAACCACAAAGAAGCTTGTTGCATACTTGACCGCATTTAAGAGATGTGGAAAGATCTCTTTCGTATCTCGATAACGTCTGAGACATTGTGCAAATCGAAACCACGCCGGTAAACACACCACAAACGGTCTCATCGATAGTTCACGCACTATACAGGTGTCTGTATCTATTCAAAAAAGAGAAATATGGATGCATTAGATATTGAATATCGATTAGAGATATAAATACAAATATAAAATAAAGAGGAGGAAATTCATAGTATGAAAAAATTATGTACAATAACTAGTGTAGCATAAATTCGTCGCATCTATATAATTAATTACTGACCTGTAACGTCGGTCCAAGAAGAATTCTGAATATAGAAACAGACAAAATATTGAAAATCTAGAAAGACCGTATGAAGAGAATTGAGTTGATCAGCGAGCCAAAAATCCGCGAATCCCACATAAAAGAATGGTGCGCAAAAGACACGACCTAGAACGCGCAGCGTCCAAAATCTTGCCTCGTATCGTAAAGTCTTGGTAGGATTGAATAAAAATAGTGCCAATAGTACATAAAACAGCAACTATAAAAAACTACAATTAATTCCTTGAGAATTGTTTACACTATGAAGAATTAATTATTCGTCATTTAAAATTTTTCACAATACTCTTAAAATAAATATTTTAGAGATGACACACATTTATATAGAAATATACGTGATCTTACTGGTTGAACAAACGGTGGTATACCCAACGTATCGCTATATAGAAAACCCAAAATAGACATGGACCAAACTAGACCGAGTATGGTTGCCATTTCAATGATATGCTGAAATTACAATAATGAATTTCACGACATCAATAATCTATTTTTAATTATAAGATGTTAATTTACAAAATAATTTCAATTAAAATTAATATATAAGATAAAAGTGAACAAAGCACGACAAACATCATAGTTAGTAATAAGTTAAGTAATAATTTACTAGTTAGTAATAATTTAAATTTTGTTTATGTTTAGTTATGAGAAGACATATATTTATTAATAATATAAGAACTATTTAAAATTCTGTACAACTAATTGATAAATCCTATTTTAAAATTAATATTATCTTTTTTACTATAACTGTAATCTAAAATATTGATTTTATCTGTCATAAAACCTGTTCTGACAAATGATTGCGTGGATCAAGTTCGAATATCAGCACATGGTTTACGCCAGAAGATCTCCAGCCATAAACATTGATTCCCATCAAAAAAAGGAATTCTATCATAAGAAGTGGCCCACGATAAATTCGACATAATACCTTCCAGTTTTCCTTCTTTTTATATCGCATAGCTGAAAAATTAAAGTCAATGTAATGCAAATAAAAGGGAAAAAATTTTCATTCTTACCGGATAATATCACAGCAATAAAAAGTATGACAAAAGCACCGGAAAAAAGACCGACTTTAAATGTAATCCAAGGAGAGAGCTGTTCTCCGAGTGGAGGTACTCTGAGCCGTTTCATGGCTCTTTGACGATCGCCATGTTCCAGATCTCGAGTGACTACAGCCTCGGTCTCTGCAATCAATCTATCTATATCCTTCCGTGTATGGAAAATCGCCGTATCAACATGTTCTGCACGCCATTTGCTACCAAAGTCTACATTCAAAAGCTACAAAATATCATTACTTTATACATATCTCTTCATATATCTTACTTACTTACTTGTGTTTCTCAAACATACACAAATTCATAATTTTTTTTTATTCTGCATTTAAATTAATTGTATACATAAATTGCAAACATAAAGTTAAATAAATCTACATACTTTGTCATGTTTCTTCAAAATTTTTCGGAATCCAGTAAAATTCAAGTCTTGGTAATTTTGAAGTAGAATAAGAAAAAGATAGAATTCAGAAAAGGCTAATTTTAACTCTTGAAGTTTGCGTGCCGATACTGGCTTTTTGTGAAGGATGTGACTGCGATAGCGTGCCTTACGACTTTGGGCATCCTCAGAAACTGATAAAATCTCACTTAGTTCGTTGTTAAGTGTGGCAAATCTACGTGTAGCTTCTGCTAATTTTTCTGAAAACAGAACATGCTTTTCATTTTGTACTTAAATAGCTATTATGTTAGATAAAAGTATTTCAAATGTCAATTGATCTTACCAGAATAGAAGGTATTTATTTTTGTCAGTTCCTTATCACAATAATGGAAAAACTTCTCATCAAACTTGCTGTAGAAGCTATCTAAAACATATGGTTCGCTTACATCTGCGGATGGAGCCTGCTCTACTGCAGCATATAGCAGAGCCTTCATTTCCTGTGTATAATTACATGACATAAAGTATTATGTAAATTTCTTGCAATTAGTTGATACAAATAAATCTTAAAGTACAGGAAAAGAGAAAAGTAAAATAAAGATTGCAATCGCTTAAATAACAAAAATAATTAATATTGTATATAAAAAATATACAAAAGATACATGTACAAAAATAAAATGGAATGTAAAAGAAAAATATATATATAGAATTTTTAATATTGAAAGCACACCTCATAGTTGATATACTGTTTTCTCCATTCTGGTGTGATGTGAGCGCTTAAATGTTCCGCGAATTTCATGGTGAGGAAGAAAAGGTAGAAGAGGAAGAAGAAGACGTCGTGTCAACGATTACACGACGAATCTACGTAAACAGGATACTTGAATTGACATATACTCATCAAGATCGTATTGAATTATTTTTAAAGCCCTAGATTCGTCAGGCAACGCATATTTCGCAGATATTGTGTACTTGTAGGTTATGTCGCGTCATAACCTATTTCGCGTGATTTCTTTACAAAACTGGCGCAATAACCGAGACTTTTTCGCAGCGTTGTTATAAGATATTACAAATTATTTTTATATACACCGTTGTGTTCTGTATTTAAAAATGAAGAAAATTTCTTGTGAAGGTTACGACACATAGTAAACAATTTGTGATTCACGTGTATCATATATTGTACATAAATTTTAAAATATTTTCTCTTGTTTTCATACAATACATTCAAGTATTTTGATGAGAAATATGCTGAGGAACGTAAACTGATTGTTAGATCATAAACGTAATTCTTTTAAGTGTAAATATGGTAAAGTTAATTGTACTAAGAGTGCGTTGCATAAAATTTACATCTTTACGATATGTAAGTATGATATGACGTCTATAAATTGAATTTATATATATTTAAAAGAATTTACATGATAATTTACATGATAATGAGATCTGTCTTCAGTTTTCAGCAAAACCAAAAGTTGTACTTAGTGATACAGTATTTACTTCAGTCTCTAATAATGAAATCAAATATAGGCATCATCCAGGTGTTGTTATTCCTAGAACACCAGTGTTTCCACAATGGGCAATAAAAGAAATACAAAGTATTTTAAAAGGTATAAATTATACACATTTAGTTCTTACATTTAAAATATTTATAGAATATTTTGTGATTAATTATTACTTTGTAATACTATGCTTTTAGAGAGACAAATAGTCTTGAAAAAAATTAAAGAGAATACAAAGAAATTAATACATCACTTGAATAAACGTCATCCACCATTAGAACAACATGAGTTACCAGCAAAATTTCAGAAAGTAGAAAAGCGTTTGAATATTAATAATCATGATAAAAAGATATCGATAGAGGATATAGATTTCCGTAAAGATAGAAAGTCCAGGATGATTTTGAAGCAAAATATTTATAACTGGCAACCAATACACTTCGATAAACTCACTTCCCTGATGTACCTGGTCGGCAGAGGCGTTCAGAATTATGCGGTTTTGCATAAAATTTTCAACGAAATTAAATTTCGCGACACGGATTTCAGACCTCAAACATTGTTTGACTTTGGTTCTGGTGTTGGCACAGTCATGTGGTAAATATAAAAGTGAACTATATTAGTATGTTGATGTAAAAAACCTAGAATATTTAATATAAGATTGATTAATATAACATTAAGGAATCTTTTTTTTTTTATTCTATAGGGCAGCTTCTGAGATCTGGTCAAAAACGTTAAAAGAATACTTTTGTGTTGAAGTATCGGAATTCATGATTGAATTGTCAGAAAGATTAGCGGAAGCTGCCGAGCCAAAGATCAAAGAAGTTTTTCATCGTCAATATTTTCCTATCTCGACGAATGTAAGAGTAATATGAAATATTATACACATTAAAGTTTTTGTTCAAAAAATATATAATTTGATATATCTCTGTTATTTTTAGCGAACATATGATATCGTAGTGAGCGCGTACACTTTGTTTGAATTACCGGGTATGGAATCACGTATTAATACAATATTAAACCTTTGGGCAAAGACTAACAACTACCTGATTATTGTAGAAGAAGGAACCAATGCAGGTTTCAAAGTAGGCATATTCAATATAATTTTACTTTCTATATATATTTTGTAAAATTCTCATCTTTGTTCCTTTTTTTTTGAAAGCTAGTAAATGAAGCACGAGATTTCGTTCTCAAATACGCAAATTCGAAACGTAGACAAGAAACGCAATTTGCTCATGTTTTCTCACCTGTAAGTATTTATTAGATAAGAAATCCGAACGTGATTGAGTGTAATGATATTGTTGAATGCATTGATTGTCTCTTAAATCTGTTATATTATTGTTGCGATTTAGTGTCCACATGATTTGAAGTGTCCAAGATTTGCCACCGATAATACTCCCTGTAATTTAAGTGTTCTTTATCACCCATTGCAATTTTTGGGCGGTCGACAACACAAATCAGAGCTATATTCTTATGTTGTGTTAAAGAAAAGTAAGTAAGGTTGAAAAATAAAATTAACAAAAATTGTTATTTAAATCACGTCTTATAAAAGATATGATAGAAATTATATAGTGGTACTAATTATTAAGTTTTATCGAGATGTGTATATCCTTTCCAATACAAAAATACAAAATATGTTTCTTTTTACAGGTAAACGTCCTGAGAATGATGAGCAATGGCCAAGGATCGTGCGAGCTATATTAAAACGTTCTAATCACACGATCTGTCGCATGTGCACCAACAGTGGAGAACTGAAAGAGGAGATATTTACAAAATACAAGCATGGAAAGTATGTATCTATTAAATTGTGTTTGAATATACAATTATATGAAATGTTTTTATTGTCAGGCATATGTACCGTTGTGCAAGAGAGAGTGAATGGGGCGATAGATTACCTTTGCATTATGAACAACAGCAAGAAAATTTAGAAGAAACTGAAACAGTTACTAAAATAGCTACTGAAAATAAGAATAAGGAAATTTAAATGAGGAAATAAAATTGTATTA